TCATTTTTGTTTTTGGTTATTTTCTTTTTAGCTTTACCAGGCATGACTCTAAAATATGGAGGATATAATTGAGCTGTATCTTGTCACCAAAATTTTTTCACCTTCATTAGTAGTAACACATGGTTGTAAGAAGCAAGATACCTATCTTTATTGTACCAGTCAAAAACATAATGTTTTGCCTTTTTCTTATCATGATACATAGCATAAATAGTATAAGATTAAGGAATTCCACAAAGAACCCATGCCTAATATGTGCATTTCAACTCTTTTAAGCTTATTATACGTCGATCAACACCTTGAAGTATCTCAAATCTACCATCACCATTTGATTCTGGTTTGTAATAAGTTAACAGATCCATATTTTTCTCTAATTCAACCAATGCATTTGGTGATATGTTGATTGGCCAATTTTGTTCCCAAGTCTTTTCACATGCATCCTTTTCATCACCATGACTTTAATTTCCTTAACATACTAATAATATAATTACATTTTGTATCAATTATCCAACCATTAAAAGCCTAAGAAAATTTGTTATCCACTATATCACATTTAGAAATAGTTTTAAAATATACTTTAGACCAATGTTGCATAAGAACTTCCAAAGCAACATTAGCAAATCTTGATCCTATGCCTTTCAATTTCTTTAGCTAATCATCAAAGTCTGTAACATATGTAGCCCTCACAGTATTCCAAAGCTAGATCTTTCTATTTTTACTCATTCATTTTTTCTACCATTTGGCATAAATGTACAGAGCACACATTTTATGCTCTGCCATTAAAGTGACTTCACTAACCATTGGTATCAATTTTTACAACAAATATGATATTATCAAACTTTAAACCATATAGTTTACACATAACAAACCCAAAAATAAAGATAATCACATATGTTTTGCATATATGAAATTAGTGTTAAGCCTTCACCATCCACATGGTCTAAATTAACCATCAGTTTGTTTAAAACCATCTCCAGGATGCTTTGTTTTCTACCTCAACCATTGTCCAAGCAATTACGATGATCTAATTATTTGTATCTCTGTAACCATTAATAGCTCTCCCTTACATATGGTTTTTAAGAAGCATTCATCAACACCTATTATTGGTCTACATCCATCTTTTCATTTTTTTTTAATAGCTCTTAAGCATACATACATTCTGAAAAACATAGTCTTCCCTTCATCTTCTTTATGGACTTATATTAAAACTATACTACCAGGATTATTATCCATAAATCTTTAGTATATTCCCTTAAATTGGCATTCTCATCTACATAAGCCCTAATTTTCTTCTTCAACACTACTTTATTTACTTTTTGACACATATTATAATTTGCATAAACACCTAACTCTTTTTTACACAAATCCATCAAATATACAACTTTCATAATAGGTTGCTCTATAATTCTATCTTAAGCCTCTTTTGTATGTCCTTGGTAGACAATAAACAATTGATGTTGCTTCTAAAACATCTATGCTTAGGATGGTAAGTCTTCACCATATGATAGTTCTTTTTAATATAATAAAATATTAATACAAAAATCATGTAAAATAGAAAATTTTATCACGCATAAGCAAAAAACTTTATCTTGCATAAACAGAAAACATTGAATAATGCATAAGTAAACAAACACTAAATATATTAAGTAAACACAATAACATTTTATCATGTTTTGGGACCTATTTCAAAAAAGTATATCCCAAACCCTAATATGACATACAAACAAACAAGCACAAATAAAACCACAATACTGTCATTTTTAACTTTCATAAAGTAACTTTAACCATATAAAGACTTTTCTATTCAAAGGAATATCAAATCAAAGATGATTTAAAAAAGAACATACCTCACAACCTTTCTAGATTTAGCTTAGTCAACTTGTCACTTGAGTTGAGACAGAAAACCAAAATTTTCAAAAATAGATAGTTTTCGAGATTTAGCTTTAGGGTTTCAAGAATTGCACTTTCAACTTTCAAGATTTGGCTTAAAGGGTTTAAGGTTTTGATTTTGTTTTAAGGTGTAAGTGTTTGATTTTGATTTGGCTTAATTGATTTTAGGAAATTTAATATTTGAGAAAGGATTAGGGATTTTAAAAGAGAAACATATTAAGGACCTTTTTTTCTCTAAATATTAGGGATTTCAAAAGGGGTTTTTTCAATTTTTTCAATTTGTTTGCTTTTCCATTTCCAAATATTACAAATAAACTCTAAAAACCAATCATAAAATGCCAAGTGTATAAAAATGGAGGAAAAAATATAGCCCAGAGCCATGGTTTCCACATTATATGGGACATTAGAATAAAATTGGCCAGGTTAAGTGCCACGCATTTATTAAACGTGACGTGTGATTTAACTTAATAACTTAAATAGTTTCCATCCAATTTAGGCCTTATTTAATTGAAAATAAAAGAATAAGGGCTTTATTGATTATAATAAAAACTTTAGGGGCTTAATTGATTATTCAATTTTTGTTTAGGAGCTTTTTGAACCCTTAGGCCAAAGAGATATCAAAGGAACATAAAACAATTCGAGACTAGAGAAAGTGCTTGTAGAAGTGAGACTAAGATGGAAAGTAAAAGAAATCAAGCCCAAATGTGAATCGAAGGCCTAAGACATAGGATTAGGTCCCAGGACATGCGAGTAGGCATTAAAAATAGGAGTGTGATGGGAAAAAGAATTTAAAAGCCCAAGCAAGGTGCTCAGGTTCGAAAGCTTTTAGAAAGTCCTAGTGTGGGTATTACAACAGATAGGCCTTAAACCTTTTAGATCTTGTAGAGCCTCATTTGTGTCAAAACCTCTAATGCACCAATCCATGTAAACTTAAGACTCTTATGTAATCTTAGACTCTAAGATAGTCATTCATTCGATTCAATATCAACTATTAATGTAAAGAAACTTCAATTATAAATAGAGGGTGCATTTTCTTCATTTGTACATATACATAGCAATCATCAAGTAATATAAATATACTTATAAATGTACTTTTGCTTTATATCTTTTCTTTTTTCTAGCTTTCTATTAAATACTTTGTTTGCAACAAAACTAACTTTTTATTAAATGCCTAATGTGCAGTAAAGCTAGGACCCAGAACTAGCAAAGGTAAAACCTAGAGCTTCAATACTTAAGCATCTTATCTTAGTAAAGGTTGATGCTTGAGTCTCTTGAGTATTTTTTTTGAATCCGAGTAATGATTGATTTTGGACATCAAAAGAGTCAATCTTTGAATTTATTGAGTATTTGAGCATTTTGTTGAGTAAAGGTTGATTTTTGATATTGAAAAAGTTAATTTATGAATTTAGGAATTGCATAAGCCTAGAGTTTGAAACTCGAGTTGTATAATTTGGATATTGAAAGAGTCAATCTTCGAATTCAGGAACTGAACAAGCTTAGAGTTTGAAACTTGACTTGTGACAATAGCATGTGTGAGATGACTAATCTATATTTCGTAACCTCTTAATATCACTACATCAATCCCACATCAAATCCTATATACATTTTATACCAAAAATTTCTTTTCTCTGTCATCATAATTATTAGCATTGAATTTAAATTACCAAACATATTTTATTGTTAATCTTCTAATTTACATGTCTCTTAATCAATTCATACAAAATAGGATAAACAACATTAAGACAAATTTTGTATTTTTTTGTAAAAATTTCATTTTTTACCCTAAAAGCAAGTCTAAGTTACAAAAAAATTTTGCGTAGTGTATTTGATCATTAAAATTTTTTTTAATATGATCATTTCAAAACAAAACACATTAAGTATCAAAGAGTAAGTCCATGAAACAAAAATACGACCATAAACCAATTAGGACCAATTGGGAGTAAAACCATTAGCCAATTGGGTTATAAAGTAAAAGATATTGGCGAGTTCCAATCTTACTCCACCTAGGATTATAAATGAACTGAACGTGAACGAACGAACATATGTTTGTGTTTGTTATTTTTAAAGGTGTTTGTTTTCGATTCATGTTTATTAAGAAAATTACTCTATTCATTCATGTTCATTCATTTAAATAATATGTTGTTCATGTTCAATTTGTGTTCGTTTAATTAACTTAAACGAACTCTTTCGTGAACATTAAACGAACATATTCATGAACATAGATAAATGAACACATTCATGAAAAATAAACAAATCATAATCAAACAAATTTAAACAAATAAATCCTAAATGAACATAAAAAAACCCAAACAAATATAAACAAACCTTAAAATAAAATTAGGGTAAAGGATAAAAATATAATTTTATTAGTACTTTTATAAATGAACAACAAACGAATAATAGACAAATGAGTTTTAAATGAACCATAAATGAGTTTATTTATGAATATAAGTGAATAAACAAATAGCTATTTTTATTTAATTTATTTTATAAATGAACGAATAAATGATATTCAAAATCATTTGTTAAACTTAATAAATTAATATCAATGAATAAAAATCGAGCATATTTATGAACATTTATAAAAAATTTTTATTCAATTACACCTTTAAATCTGTCGCATGACAAACAAATATAATGATTAAAGGGTAGATTAGCTGAATTGATGAATTTAACCTAATCAAATTTGGGTTAAAAAAAAATTTAACCTAATCATATTTGCACTAAAAAAAACGAAAGTGGTGTCCACAACTATTCGTGTACAAATTGTACCTGCAAGCTTATGAGAACAAACATCAATTCTCATATACGGACAGCTGGTCGCTTCTTCATTTCAAACATTGTCGGTTTTATATTATTTAATCCAAATCTTTTATATTTTAATTTTAAAATAGAGATTTTTTATTTCCAAATTTAATTAAACTGTTATTTATGTAACAAATCTTTTATCTTTTAATTTAAAATTAAAAATTTTCATTTCTAAATTTAATCAATCAATTATTCATATTCTTATACCCTAAAAATTGTAGTTGTGTTTGGCTTAGATTTTTATACTGAAAAACACAAATATAAAGACAAATAAAAGTAAACAAAAATTTTATTTTATTCTCTATCTCTTATCCCATCTCTGGGAGGGATCAACTCCTTTTATATAGAACTGCTCTCTACTTTGCTACGTATTAGCTTTCTCATTGAAAAAAAGAAGAAGACAGAGAAGGAGAAGGGAACGCAGAGGAGAGAAGTGAAGTGAAGAAGTGAGAGCGTTACGCCGGCGGTGCACGGTGGCACCGGGCCCCCTTATTTTACGCCCTGATTCATTTTCCACCTATTCTTTCTATTATTTTTTTCCCTAGCGAAGGTTGCTTCTTTCCCACGGCAAATTCCTATTTGTCACAGAGAAAATATAAAAAATCGATTCTGAACTTCGCTTCTTACTCCATATTTATTCAATTTGCCTTTTGATTTCTGGCGGACCTAAAAGAAACCCTATCGTTCCTCTGATCGTCCCTCTCTATAATCTTAGCGGATCGTTTCGCTTTCAAATCTCAAAAAAAAGAAGAGGATAGGGATTTACGGGATTAAAATGCTTTGGATAATGCGATTCTCAGGGTTCTTTTCAGCTGCAATGGTTATGATTGCACTCTTCCCTTCACTCCAGTCGTTTCCTCCAGCTGAAGCCATTAGACCATCTCACCTCGACAGCTACCTCCGGTTACCGTCATATCAGGTGTCCACATCACCACCCTCACTGGAGGACCGATTATCTTTTCGAAAAGCCTCTGAATTTCGCAATGCCGACGAATGTGGCTTCACTGACCACAAAATCACTGGCGTTTGCAATCCTTCTTTAGTTCACGTGGCTGTCACTCTCGATGTTGAGTACCTCCGGGGCTCAATCGCCGCCGTCCACTCCATTCTCCATCATTCATTGTGTCCGGAGAACATTTTCTTCCATTTCCTCGTCTCGGAGACCAATCTGGAAACCCTAGTTCGGTCCACGTTCCCTCAATTGAAGTTCAAGGTTTATTATTTCGATCCTGAGATTGTACGGAACTTGATATCATCTTCTGTTAGGCAGGCGCTTGAACAGCCGCTAAACTATGCTCGAAATTACTTAGCGAATCTGCTAGAGCCATGCGTACGGAGAGTGATTTATTTGGACTCTGATCTAGTCGTTGTTGATGATATCTCTAAGCTGTGGAGTACCAACCTGGGTTCACGAACAATCGGGGCACCGGAATATTGCCACGCCAACTTCACTAAATATTTTACGGCCGGTTTCTGGTCGGACGAACGGTTTTCGGGGGCTTTCAAAGGGAGGAAACCATGCTATTTTAACTCGGGTGTGATGGTGATAGATCTGGTGATATGGAGGCGGGTCGGGTACACGAAGCGGATCGAAAGATGGATGGAGATCCAGAAAAGTGACCGGATCTACGAGCTTGGTTCGTTGCCGCCGTTCTTGTTGGTTTTTGCGGGACTTGTGGCACCCATCGAGCACAGATGGAACCAGCATGGATTAGGTGGGGACAATGTGTGGGGAAGTTGTCGAGACTTACATCCGGGTCCGGTTAGCCTTTTGCATTGGTCAGGGAGCGGTAAGCCATGGCTTAGGCTGGATTCCAAACGGCCGTGTCCACTCGACGCATTATGGGCTCCTTATGACTTGAATGGACGCTCGCATTGAAATCAAAGCAGGGATAGTCACCGGTAAATTCCCTGTCAGGACTGATATTTTTGTCACTTACTTTTATTTTTCATTTTTTCCATTTTCTCTTCATTATTTTGCATCTTCTTTTTTAGCATGATGATGACTTAATCAATATTTTTCTTCACTTTTATTTTTTTTAACTAATTTCTGTGTCCATTTATATTCTATCAAAAATTTAAAAAAGAAAAAGAAAGTAGATATTCAATTTGCTACAGTAGCATAAACTGCTGTCCAGAGTGTTACATAGAACTGAGCTTTAGATTTAGCCATGTGGTTTTACAGTTTCAGTTGCGTTCTAAGTCCAAACAGAAATAGAGTTATATCCTTTCCGTGGAGGAAGCAGTCCACGCGAAAATAAAATATTAAAATGACCAACTTGTACTTTCTTTTTTTTTTAATTTACAAGCAACTGGCAAGAACATAAATTAGATTAATTAATGGCGTTCTGGTTGGTGTCCGCCTACTTGTTCGGTTCTTTGTTAGTTTCTTATTCTTCCTAATAATATTAACATGGGCTTTGCCTTCTCGTTCTTTGCTCTTTTAAATGCCTTTGTGCGAAGTTATCGGGGATCAAAATATTAGGACGGTCGGATCACACAGATTTTCTTTTTGATAAACAGTAGTAGTGGTAGGACCATTTTTCGAAATGTGGTGCAGTGATTTAGGTAGGGCCATAACTTTACGCATATGAGTATGTGCAGACTTGTATATATTTTTCATAATGATACTATACAGCACCGCATTTACACCGAATTGAAATTAAGGGAGACGAAAATTCAGAAATGAATCGGCCGAATTTATATTGTTGTAGGTGGAGTGCAATGAGCAAGGAAGTGGAAAGGGCATGTGATGCTTTTTGCCAGTTGGTTGTCCATTTTCAATGATGGCCAAAAGGGACCGGCTGGAGAACTAATTTTAGTGTTTTGGATGACCGCTAAATTTTTGTTGTTTTGGTGGTTTTGTGCTTTGGTGACAGCGGCGGAAGACTTGTGAGCTAGCTTCCCACACTGTTTGCTTGGGCACTTTGGTAGCAATCACATATTCCCTCCCTTTGGCGTCCGATTTGTGTGTATTTCCTGTATTTTTTATTTTTTTATACGCCAAATAATGTGATACATACTTTCTTTTATAATATTTTTATCCACCAAATAAAAAAATTAGTGAATGATTAGTAATGGGTGATTGTGTAAATGAAGCTAAGACAGCAGAGAGATCATACTAAATCGGTGGCATCCAAAGGGGACCCAGATGTCATAGTAGCTTAGGCAATGTCCAAAGTAGGAATTGGGACCGATTACTATTGCCCTGTCATCACACGTGGCCAGTTGTTTGGATCTTTGTTGAATCAACGAGTCCTCTTTCCACCTTTTGGCTATGTGGCATCAAGCTACATGCGGTTGCTTTGCTTCGTAGGTGGCTGGTGTTTGCTTTTAACTATGAAAAAATTAATTAAATAAATTTGACTTGGACTGGAGATACTAACAGCAGCTGCTGCTGGGCTACATAATTTGTGGCGGTGAAATCGTAAAAAAACTATCTGTCGATGACAGCTTTTGATCTCAGTTGTTCTAATCATTATCTCTTAACTAATTCAGTAGCTTTTAATCATCTGGTGAGGTTAGATACGGCGAAACCCTGGACTTAATATGGCTTTTACATAGTTAATAATAGTTTTCAAATATTATAACCACATCTGATGTTAAATTGAATAGTCTATTATCTTAAAACTTTACATTTATAAAAATTATTCATTATTATATTTAAATTTTAATAATTTTTAAGGATGAATAATTAAAAATTTTGTACGTGAATTTAAATTTAAAAGAAATATAAAATTGAACGTACAATTCAATAAGCAACAAGATATTGGATAACAGAATACAAAGATTACGTTTTCTTAAATTCACATTCAAAAAATTTCATACCATGTTAAATTGAGTGATTAATTAAATGATAGAAAAATATATTTTATGAATGTGTTTGGTAGAGTGAAAAAGTGTAAGAATAGATAGAGGGTGGTATAAAAGTGGAAATAAAATAAATTTTAATGTATTTGATAAGTAAAAAAAGTGAGAAGAAAAAAAATATGAAAGATTATTTTTTTCGCATTTATTTACAAATACAAATTATTTTAAATTGTGAAAAAAAAAGAAAATGAGAGATGTGTGTAAACGTAACATATTTACAAAATTATCCATATTTTTAGAATTTTCCTTTTTATTCTAGTTTTAAAAGAGTGATAAAATTATATAATTTTTTATTTTTTATTTTATAAAGCAATTGATGAAAAAAATATATATTCTCTTTATTTTTTTCATCTTTCCAACCTACTACACTAATAAAAAGAAAAAATCTATTTTCAATGTTTTCATTTTTTTTTTCTTTCATTTTCCAATTTTCCAATTTTCTATTCACAATACCAAGCAAAGCTACTCCTATTTTATTTCACGCGTAAAACATGAATTGCTGATTGGACTTTGTCCTTGGAAGTTAATTCATGTGGATGGAATTGCTTGTCAATACTGTGATATGCATATTTTTTTTCTTTATTGTTATTTGTAGTTTTTTTTTCCCTAAATTCCCACATTTATCAAGAGGAGGTCATTTCTTGGAATGCCAAAAGATTACAAGGCTTTATAGTTGTGTGTTGAGAGGTAGAAGTGTTAGCCGGACCCATTAAACCATCGCAATGGATTGGTCCCCAGTGGGAGCCTGCGCAATAATCAGGTTTAAATATTGCAGAATAAACCGCATGAAAATTGGATCTTCATTACAAGAAACCGAATGCTCCAATTTCGTTTACCTTGATTTCATTTGGAATTATGCCTGGGATCTTAAGTGTGGGTGTGGAAGGATCTGCGGGGAACGCCAAGAAACAATTTGTTGATAATGAGCATTAATGTCTGAGAAACCTCCAAACTACGTTGCGTAGTCATTGTTTGTGTTGCTACAAAGCTGTCCCTTTTATTACATGTGCACATAAATACACCAAGTCTTTATTGAATGTTGACAGTGACTTCATGGCTGCCTGATATTAGTAGCCTTAGCATTTGGAATCATGTTAGTCGATCAAGTCAAGTTTTGATAGTTACGCAAACCTAGAAATTAAATTTAGGGCTCTTGGAAAGCTTTTATTCTTTCCCCATGGAGAGGTTTCTGGTTCTCTAAAACTATTTATCAGTGGAATTTGGCATGCGAGGAAAGGCCACCAACGGAAAAAAGCTATATGTAAGATGAGTGTTGAAGGCCTTTCAGAACCTTTACAGCTAGAAAGAGCCACTGGGTTAAATACAAGTGTAAAGGAGGGACCATCTAATTAACATTCATCAATCATTGGAGAACCACCCCCAATGCTACAATTACAAGCTTTCCTCCCTAATCTCGAATCAAAGCTCCTGCTTCATACAAGTGGGGCTCGTACTGTTGCATCTAAAGCAATAATCATAATAATACAGAATCAATAGACAACAATCAATAATAAAAAACACAGAAAAAATAAAGCACACCAAAATTTATGTGAAAAACCCTCAAGTGTAGAGGGAACAAAAAAATCACGGACCACCAAAAAAATCTTCACTATCAAATAATAGGTATACAAAGTTCTTCTCTAGCTAAAACTAGAGCTAATCAACAACTAGAGAAACAATTGGAGAAATCTCACCAAATAAGTGACTCAACAAATACACCATGAATTTGTTCCTATAAAGCTTCAAACCCAATCTTCACCATTTAGAATGTAAAACTTTGAATCATAAACTTTTTGACAAGGTTCTAACTCAATCGGATCACGGATCGACTTTCGTTCAACCAACTCTCCCTTTTCCTTTTTCTTTCTATTTTTTCTGGCTTTTCTTCTTTTTCTACTTGGTTTTCGACACACCCTTAAAACAACCCCACCTCTTTTTTATTAAGTAGTTAGGGCTCTGTGTAAATGAAAGATCAAGGCTCATGGCCTTTACTTGGTCCAAAACCACTTACATGAGGTTGGACCCCATTTTTCTAACAATCTTCACCTCTAGCCCCATTAGGAGGAGATTCATCACCATAGCAGTTTTATTTGAAACTTACCTTGGCCAGGGAACTCATTCCGGCTAAGTTATTGCAAAGCTCAAGCTTTTTCCTGGAAAGTATCTTAGTTAACATATCTGTTACATTTTTATCAGTATGGACTTTCTTCAATAGCATCTATTGTTTTTCAATCACTGAACGTAACCAATGATATCTAAGATCAATGTGCTTTGTTCTAGCATAGTACATGGTATTCTTACTCAAATCTAAAGCACTTTGGCTATCACAAAATACCGCATACTCTTTCTGATTCAACCTTAATTCAAGAAGAAAACGTTTCATCCAAAGCATTTCTTTACATGCTTCGATTGCTGTAATATACTCAGCCTCTATAGTTGATTAAGCAATATACTTCTGTAACTTAGATTGTCAAGATACAGCTCCTCCTATAAAAGTGAACAAATACCCTGAAGTAGATTTTCTACCATCAAGATCGCCTGCCATGTCAACATCAGTAAACCTTTCTAAAACTAGTTGTAAAACTCCATAAGTCAAGCACATTTTTGAGGTACCCCTCAAATATCTAAAAATCCATTTCACTGTTTCCTAGTGAACCTTTCTCGGATTAGAAAGAAATCTGCTCACTACATCAACTGCATGAGCAATGTTAGGCCTTGTACAAATCATAAGATACATTAAAGAATCAACTGCAGAAGAATAAAGAATACTAGACATAGTTAGCTGCCCTTCCTTAGACACTAGACAAGATTTCTTACTTAGATAAAAATGGTTGGCAAGTGGACTGCTAACTAATTTAGCATATTGCATGTTGAATCTACCAAGCACTCGTTCAACATACTTTCCCTATGACAACCACAGCTTTTCTATCTCGGATAATGTCCATACCAAGAATCTGCTTTGCTGGACCTAAATCCTTCATATAAAAATACTTAGACAATTGTTTTTTCAACCTGTAAACT